AGTTGGCATTTCCATTGTCATTGTGGATGGCATTTTGTAGCAAAAAGGAACGTACAAGTAGGAAGAAAATAATTCATGTGCGGCTGCTCACGCTCTTATTCGTTGTTCTTGACGCGATAATTCTATCTAGGCATAGAGATAACAAACCACCGCGATTAATCGAATCTTTCCAGATTAAGGGATGCGGGGAAGGATGTGTTAGCCACTCCTTCAAGAAGGAGTACTTATATTTGGGCAAAACTGCTTCACTAATCTTTTGGTTATTTCATCCGCCTGTGTTTTTTTATTATTTTTTTGACGCGCATGCGCATTGATGATTGATATTTTGATGACTTTGGACGTAATAGCGATGGTGTTTCAATTTTTCTTTCGGCGAGATAACTTGTACCATCTGACAATTTTTGTAAGATATATATGTGTCTTACCTTCAATAAACATTGAGTTGCCAGTGTGCGTTTGTATTGTTCTTCTCTCCTCCAGTTCCACTAACGTACTGCCCCACTTCTGCCTTTCATAACGAGTCTTGGGGAAAAAAAATGGCAGCATATCCACGGAGTGAATGATGGAGAGTGGGGCGAAGCATTCGTCCGTCCATGCGTCCGCCTGTGTGACCGTCCATGCGTCTGTTTGTGCGCCCGTCCCTGCGTTCTTTCATGCATCCGCCCCTGCGTCCGTTCATGCGTCCATCCATGCATCTGTTTGTGTGTCCGTTCGTTCATCTATTCAACACTCCAAGTTCCACCATCTCGCATCTTTTTATCATATATTCCCCATATAGAAGCACCGCCATCCAGCGGAGATTCCAAGGACTAAACGAGAGGTGGCACACGCACACTTTCTTACGGCCTGCGCTTTGGGTCCACTTCCCACCTTTAACCACCTCGAGTTCATGGTATATACAAGTTCATTGTATTCATGGCACTGCGGCTCAACGCTCGCTAAACCTTTCTAAAGCTAAGGAGGTTACACCCAGCGAGTATAATGTAGCATCCCTTTCTTGTCCGATAGTGCTCAATGTACATGCCAATGGCTGCTAATGGGGATCGCAGCGTGCGCGTTGACTAAAAGCCGAATGCTCATGTCTCTCATTCCCCATTAGCAGCCATTGGCATGTACATTGAGCACTATTTTTTATTGTTAAACAACGCACAGAAGAAATCTCTCACTGGCACCACCTTGGAGGTCAAGTGTTATACCTATTTTGGGTATGTGCCACTGGTGGTTACATACGAGGGACGCCCAAGCCACGCCATAAGGAGCTTCGCCCCTAAAAGGGGGCATTGGAGCCCCAATCTCCCCTTATAACTAGGGAATAAATGCTGGGGCACACGCGCAGCGCGTGTTGCCGTCACGCCCTCGTCCTTGAGCGCTGTCATTCGTTCGCTACAAGAACCCACGCCTTGCGAAACACTTCTTGCAACAGTGGACACAGGCGTCGTGAACGGCGAAGTGCAGTGTCCTTCCGGACGGAAGTACACCGTGCAGGAACTTCCTCGAACGACGATCGCGGGGAGACAAATCGATGTGGTGGTCGTTAGAGTGCGCGCCAGTCTCCTTTTTACCTTGTGCCTTAGATTCAGAGCGATTAAAAGGGAACGGCAGTTCATTGGGATTATGGTGGCGCTTGTATCGGTCTGTCAGCGACAGTTGGATCGAGATAACAGCACTAAAGAACCGTGCGTAGAAAAGAAACGGGGCCTAATTGCTACAGCTCGCGCTTTCTTACGCTTTGACTGCGTGTTCCTTTTTGCCCTGAAGGCGTCCGACTCGCAGTTCAGGACACGAAGAAGAAGAAGAAGGCAGGAGACAAGAAACTTTACTGCGTTTGGGAAATCCCTGAGCGTAGGCCGAAAGAAATGAAGAAAACCGCGAGGGCAGGGGCAAGCACAGCCGCCGGATGCGATGGGTCCGCCGAGAGGCTATACTGCGTTCGGGAGGGCTCGTCGCCATGGCGACCGCGGGAAAGACTAAATGGAAGGAAAGAAAAGAAAAAGAGGGATGGATTTAGATAGGGGGGGGGGGAAGCAGGGAGCGAGGGGACGAGGGAGAATAAACGGGAAGTCGACGGAGACAGGGGCTCCAGCTGTTGACAGCTCCGTGTCGACACAGTTGCGTGCAGCGCGGTCGACCACCTTCTCTGCGCGTATCTGGTGGCTTGGAACCCACTTTTTTGTCTGTCTTGTCGCGGCGCTTTTGAATCACCTGGCCGGCCTGTGGCAATCCGTCCTCTTTGCGTCATAAAGCGTCAGGAATATTCTTTTGCGTGTTGATGAAACGTCTACGATGGGCGAGAACGACTTTGCGACACTTCGGGGCTAATAAAAGAAGTTGTTACCACCAACCAAGCACAAAAAGATTATTGGACTATGGTAATTCGCACGGGTGCAGAGTTCTTATTGTTCGTATTGTGAACATTCCTCTTTCACGTCGTTCACTACATGTTGGACATGTAGGTCAAAACACTCAGGCAAGAAAAAGGAACAGTGAGATGTGTTTCCTGTTCCTTCTTGTGTTCCTGTCTTTTGCGCTACCTGTTCCACATAAATTCCTAGCAACTCTAGTTAATTCCAGTTCTTGTAAGGCTTTTAGTTGGTCAGTGCTCGTAACTATATTTGTATATGATGCTGCCTGAGCAGGCGAGTTTTCGTCAAACTCCTTGGCGTGTATGTGTGGTTGAGTGAAGTCGAAGCAGCTAGACTGACACGCACTGCACGCTATTATTGCGTGGCTGCGCAGTTCGCTTCCGGTTCTTCCGTTGACCTCGAATCGGGCGTTAGAGCGCTGCTGCAGTGACGCGTAAAAGGTGCGGAGATGCCTTATTAGCGCAGTGCAACTGGTGGCGCCCCGTCGCGGTGGCGGTGCCAACTTCTGGCGCGTCGATATTCATTTTTTTTTGTTTTCTTCATTTCCACATTTACTTTTCCCTTTCAGTCGAAAGCGTTTGTGACAGCTGCGTTAATAAATGAGGTTCTCTTGGCCAGATTTACGACTTTCATGGCTAGAACTGGCGCCTGTCCGCGCTACTTACACGCATCCTTGATTGTGCAGCCTGTTGGAGGTAATGCGAGCACTGCAGCTTATCGTCTGCATACGAAAAATGTTTGGATGGTTCCAGCAACGTCTATTTTTATTGTGATAGCAATTATATTGACACTCTCGGCCGAATTTTGCCGCTGGCGTCGGCATCACTCATTTTATATGTGTATATATCTAGATATACGAAAACGCAAGAAAGAAAAATAATCCAGAAAAAGACTCCGGTGCGCGGAATCGAACGTGAGACCTCTGTAACGTGAGTGCGAGGCGTTAACCACTGAGCCACCGAGGAGCACGTCTTTCAACGTTCAAACGGCAAGCTATTTATATTTACACCTCACCGCTGATGACGGGCATGTCGGGGGGGAACTAGTATGGTGTTTTGAGCATTACCAACAAGATGGCGCAATGAGTGCGCATCGTCACAAAGTGGCGGCGCGCGCTCTCATCTCCCACGTGTACTTGGCCCCGCGGAGAGGGTACGCTCTCGCAAGCCCAGGCTTATCTCGCGTTGAAGACAATCGTGCGCTTAGAGCTTTTACCTGAAGGATTCTGTTGTAGAAACCGGGCGCACAATGGTCACTGCACTCGTAGCACAAAAGTTTGTGGAAGAGGCGTGCGTTTCAGACGCAGTGAATTGAAATTGAGACGCTTATTCGCGTTCATATGTACCTGTGAGTACGTTGCGTGCGTCATTTGTGCGTGAGAGACGCGGGGCATGTTTTGATTTGCTTGCCATACTGCGCGCGACTTTCCAATTTGTGGCTGTCGCATTCATTGCTTCACCTTTGCAGCAATTCTGTGGCTTTGTACACTCTGTTCATATCGCAGCTATATTAATATTATGATAGCAGCATATTAACCTTCAATTTGACTATCAAACATGCCTTGGCATAGACAGAAATTGGCGGTTCAATTCGCCTTCATGAATTGAAAATATTCTCTTGTGCATGTACACTCGTGCACATAAAATCACACATGAATATTTCTAGAGGGTAGTTGACCTTTCCCGCCCAAAAAGATTTGTCTATGCGGCTGTAAATGTACCCACCCATAGGTGGCCCGCAAGTATTGGCACCACTGGTATTGTGTGCATGCCTGTGACACTGACAGGTACACACTAAGAAGGTAGTAGAATCCTTTAAAGCGACATGACGATGGAAAAAACGAATACCGGAGCAGTTGCTTCCTATGTTATAGTTGAAGCACGAAGGATTATTCAATACTAATGACACAAGTCATATCAGTTATACAGCTGTTACGTGTATTTATTGATGCTATCAGTGCAGACATCACTAGGAATTCATTGCACCAGCACTTGCTTGTTTGATATACTTTGGTAAAGTTTTTCTCAATTTTTACAAACTACCGTAAACTTCAATGGGAATATGCTTGTATCAAATTCTTTGCCTTCATTGTTTTTTGAGTGTTAGAAAGCACATTGTAGAGTTCAATGTTGAAACGATTACTTTCTAATTTCGAAGGCACTGAAATTATGAAAACAGCACTGGCTTTCTTCCTTGACCTATTGCTGATGTCATGAAAAGGAAAACCACCAACGAAATCGCCTCCAGGCATCATGTTGTTGCCAAGTGTTATATTTCCCTCCCTAACATGTTCCTAGTAGGTTCTTACTAGCGAATCGTTCTTTTTCACCATATGTTGTTCATTTGTAGTGTAGTGATCGATAAACTGGGAACGTCACTGGACTGGAGCCAACATTTCGATACACTCGTGTATTGACAAAGACAAGTCACCTTGTCAAGTTGCAAAGAGAAGTTTAAATGACAGGAACTGGTCCACTTGTCGAAATGAGGAAGGCAACTGCTCCTGTGGAAGCTTTGGCTCCAGCAATGTTCCCTGTTTAACAACTCTTAATGATGGCTACCTTCCATCTCACCCTGAACATTCATGAATGTCCATTGTATTGTAGCAATTTATAAATGTGATTGTTTTTGTTGCAGCAAAACATGCAGACTTCTTTGATGCTGGCGTGATGGAGGAGCTCAAGCACCGGCTAGGGAAAGTGAGTGCTCCGCAGTCTCCCGCTGAACCCCACTCTTGGAATGGATACACAGTCACTTTCCATGGAACGGTCAGTGCTGACTTCACCACCTTTCTATTGATGAGCAACAGAATACATGCCTCCTAAAGAGAAAGCTTACAGCAAGACTGGATCTAGAAGATGTAGCATTTTATAAATGCATAAAACCTATAATGAAGACTCAAATTAACATACGCTGGCTCGAAACTTATCCGTGCTTGCATTAGTTTATTTTCAAGTTTGCTGGCATATCTTTTGAGCGTGATACCTGCTGACGCATGTACTGCTGCTTATAGAATAATTTGGTATTCTTAATATCCTTTATGCTAATGTCGCCACGTGCAATGTTTGAAACTCACATCTTCTAGGTGTGATGATAGAGAAGGAACAAGCTCTAGCAGATGACACTTCGATATATGCACATATATAATAAACACTGAGATCGCATCTTTCAGTATTGGTGGTTCGGGTTCGATTCCCGGCTGCGGCGGCTGCATTTCCGATGGAGGCGGAAATGTTGTAGGCCCGTGTATTCAGATTTGGGTGCACGTTAAAGAACCCCAGGTGGTCAAAATTTCCGGAGCCCTCCACTACGGCGTCTCTCATAATCAAATGGTGGTTTTGGGACGTTAAACCCCACAAATCAATCAATCAGTATTGGTGGTTAACCAACTTTATGGATTGTCGGCCTGGTGATCTTTTGGGCTATTCCACACTTTATTGAGTAGTTTCGAAATAGGTGTGGGTGAAATAACCCCAGGTGGGCGAAATTGATGCAATATTTCACACCAAGGCATTTTTTGTGCCAATACAATTGATTGTGTGTTGTGTGAATTCCGATCATTTGAATAAATAATTGATCTACGAGCTTTCGTCTTTTGAACATGCTTTTCGCTTATCATGTACGTATTTTGTTCGCTTACGGTGGGAAAGATAGCAGTTACTCCTGCGCCATTGTTTTGAAACGTGCAACAGGCACATTTTCCAACAAATAATATTGCATACCTTGAATCCAGCGAGAGCAACCAACCAAGTGTGGAGATTTAGCACTGTGAATTTCATACCCTGCAACATTTTTCGGCAACACGGGATATGCAGCCACTTGGAGGAACAGAGTTCCTACTGACTTCGTTACCTCTTTGTGTGCAGTAATGCTTCTGCTTTAACTGTGCACAGTAAAGACTATGTTCTGTCACTATTCTTGCATCGAAGCCTTTTGCGAACTTCGTTGTTAGTACGTGACTTTTGTTGCACTGTTCTTTTTGTAATTTTGATGCGTACTGTGATGCATTCCTGCAACGATGTAATTGAAGTTGGTCAATGTTTTCTGAAGCAAAACAGTTGACCATCAATATACTACAGCTATAACAAAAAGGTTTTTTATATACTAGCGTAATAGAGGAAACACGTTGCCATTCACAGAGCTTTGTGAATTGACGTCTAAGTATTTCTCCAATATAGCTTATCATTTTCATGCCTCATTTGACCTCTTTATTAGAAAGTTTTGCTGTGCATTTCGTTCGAGGTAGACGTAATAAAGATAGAAAAGCGCAGGCACATTAGAAGGATACTAATAGCTGTCACAAACAGTCTGAATGTTTTTTTTTTTGTTTTTAATATAGAAATGTTACCCCTGACGTGTATATTCATCTGGGTGATCATGACTTTTATGGTATATCACACACAACGCTTCATCATGCTTTAACGCAGGCAAAAAAAATTCCAGGAAAAATGAAGTGTTGCGCTATGCAGAATCAGTAAAGAGAGCCAGTGATTAGGACCACGCAGATTTTATTTCCTCCATTTCTTATAGACTCGTCTTTTTATTTTCCTCAGGTCGTGGCGAAAAGGAAAGAAAGCACTGGGAAAGTTAAAGTGCTGCTTCACTGGGTTCCTGAGAACATGTAAGTTGACAGAATTTCCTTCGCACAAGCTCCAGTTGCCAGTGAACAGTGAAAAGGAAGGGATTTTAAAATCTATAAAACTTGTGTGTACAGTGTCATCAAAGGTCATAAAAGTGTACCTGAATAAAAAAAAATTGCATTATTTTATCTATTTATTCTCACTAAATTTCTTATGTGCTATATTCCGGAAATCTTGATGCAGCAAGAATGTAGCATATTTTGAGTTTTGCTATATATTACAAGTCGACACATTGAAATTACATTTAGCACTAGTTTATATTTATTCTAAAATAAATTCCTGACATGCTAGACTGTAGAGATCACTTAGATTGTAGAGATCATTTTCGGGATATATTCATGTGTCATGAAATCTTTGCCTTCACTTTTGAAAAAAATTGACAATGTCTATACTAGCAAGTGATGTATATAGATTCACTGCCGTTTTAGGAAAAGGTATATCAGTTTTTATCCATTCTTGTACCACACAAAACAATTATCTTCTGTTTTGGCACAGGAACACTAGCACCTTTGAATATTTTCAATGAGCTCATCATTCAACTATTTGACACATATGACAGCTGATGTTTCCACTGCGAGGTGAAGTTTAAGCTTTCAAAAAAAAAAAAAAAAAAAAAAACTTGCCCCAAGCATTGAGCAACTGTACCCCTCTCAGCCACCAGGGGGAGTGTCTTGCCAACTGGAACCTTGCACGTGTGCCAGTGACATCACGTTGGGACATAAACTGGAACCTTGCACGTGTGCCAGTGACATCACGTTGGGACATACCCCGAGAGAGTCTATTGCAAAAGTGTGAAAACAGTGTGAAAAACAAGAGGACATAAAGCTGTGTAGCAAGACAAAAATGTGAAAGTATGCTTCGTGATGAACAAGCAATGCCAGATAATGACACAAAGCATGGAAACAATACACCTTAAATTAATTATTATTTACACTCACACCTCAAAATAACGAATGTTGATATAAGGAAATATCGGTTGTAACAAATTAAAAGAAAAATATGCTCGCAATACAGGTTAGTGTTAAGCATAAACGTTTACACTGAATTTTCTGATATAACAAACTTATTTTCATGTAAGATGCGAGTTTGTTGTTATGACGTTCGAGTGCATTACGTAATTCTAGTAATGTAAACATATAATAACCTTCAGTACTTCAGTGACAAAATTTTTTTACGTGCAGCCTGCCGGATAGCTGGGAGCCCGAGAACCAGAGCACTGAAAAGGTGGTTGCTCTGTCCACACTGTCGGCAGACGATCTTCACACACTAAACCTGTGGCCCAAGGATTTGCCAACGCCGCGCCAGAGTTTGTCTGGCAGCCGCCGACGCAAGCGGAAGTGAGCGCGACAGCGAGGTGACTCAGGGTCGTGATGCTGCAACACTGCCACGCTTTCTTTTCATTTCCAAGAATACCATTTACTGTCAACAGCTGCTCCATCGACATATGCAGCACGCACATGTGTGGGCATGAAAGTGGATCACCGTTGGTAGCGTAATTTATTTTGTGGACATTCATAACGCATGTCTTGTCCCAGACAACTTCGTCGCTGCATCCCCATCGCCAAATGCCCTTTGCAGGCAACAGACTCTCCACTGCCTTCGACTGCACTGGCAAATCAGTGACGGCGGATATGGCTTTCGGTGTGGCTGCACACATTGCCGGAACTCATCATCAGCCTGCGCATGGTGGGATAGGAAGCAGTTCACTCCCTTGGTGGTGCAAATGCTACATACTTATCTGCCTCATTTCGACAGTTTTAGACAGCGAAAGACTGCTGTTTTTCCCTATCTTCAGTGCGCAGTCAACCACTGATGCAATTCCACATGAAACCGTGATGCAATGTAGATCGGGCCACGATCATGGACTAACCTAAGCGGCTGCTCTACAATTTTGGACTGGAAACAATACTAGTACCAGTAGCTTGTTTGTGTCCCAACTATTGTCGCCTCCGGTCAACAGTCAACGACACTCACTGCCCATGAAGAACAGCACTGGTGGACATATGAAGTAGCCGACACTATGCATATGTTTGTCATCAAAGCTCTGTGCGGAGGTTTTACTATTCTTTCCTTATTTTTTTTTTCTAGCTCTTTCTCATTCACGAGCTTCTGCGACATTTGTATGCAAGAGTTGGTTCGTATCAAAAACATTGCTTATGGGATACCACCGCTGGCTGCTTCTAACATGAAAGTGTTGGTTTTCCACTTAAAGTATAAACTAAGTATAATACAACTAAATCCGTTAAATGATACTGAGCTTCCAATATTGCACCTACCTTGGTTGAAGCTATCATTGGAAGGTTTGAGCGTGTGTGCTTGACCACACTTAAATTTAAGCATTGTTTTTCGGTATTTCATCATCAAAACTTGGGCTTCTTTCCAGTGGCACTTCTAGATGAGTGGTGACAATTATAAACTAAATATATGCAACCTCCAGAAAGTACTAGAAAGTTCCTTGGTTTATCAAATACACAGATTCTTGACGATTTAAGCAAAAGCCTCGCTGTGAGCAATTACATTTGTATAGCGTGTAACAAGTGTTTCAGTAAGAACTGACTCATTCTGTTGTAGTCTGTGTGGAATACCATTAACCTATGTCAGAGTTGTTGAATCAAGTAGTTGGGCAGCTACCAAGCATTCTTCTCAAACTAAAACAGTGCTACAATAACTTTGGGAAGGTTGGCCTTTGAAAAAAAATTCACGATTCTAGTATATTTTTTTCCATTCTGAAGTGCGTTATATAACTGTTCGGCTTTCACTTGTCACCTCGCATCATACATGCCAGCAGCAGCTGCGTTTTGGCACAAATTTGTCATCTCATGCTGCCACACCATACAGGATGTACTGTTATCGAAATGCCGACAAAAGAACTGTGCCTTTATTTTCCACAAGACCACGCCGAAAACAGTTCTTGAGTCATGAACGCTAACTTACTGCCATATTACCAATTTACAAATATGCAAGAAACCCTCAGCGATTTAGTGTGTGCTCTGCAATTTCGTGTGTATGCAATTTACGTGAGGCTTTGCGAAATAGGGCCAAGAACGAGTTTCTTTTACTTACACACAATGCTGTTTATTGTGTATTTGTTGCTTGCATGCTTCTTAAGCGGTCATTGAAAGCATGCAGAAAACTTGTGTTCAGCGGCCCCCAAGAAGACTTGCTTCTTATCCCATACACTTTTTTCAACAGTTACGAACAATACGGGGTCATTCTGTGTTCCAAGAAATATCACACATTTTGCTTTCGTCAGATTGAAAAAAATTTAAACTTTTCAGAGTCATCTTAGTTTACCGCCACGCCCAAATTGGTTTTCTGTAAACTTGTAAGTTGTTAATTTTGCAGAGATTAGCATCTAAATGAGTACTTCAATGTTTTCATGCAGTAGCATTGATGCCTGTTATGTTTTTAGGCTTGAAAGCAAAAGGTGAGGCTGGGAAGACCCTGATGTCGCAGATGTCGATCTGCATTTTGCAAAAAGAAAATATAGGCTCCTTGGGGCTTATTTGGTATGCAAACATTCAAAGTCCACAGACCTTTTTTTTTTCCTCAAAAGTTTCATACCTTGGGATTTGGAGGCTTTTAACAATGTGTGTGTATTACCAGTGTAGTATGGCGTTCTTGACAGGGACGGCACACACTTGCGAGAAAGAGAACATGAGCAGGACAGATGACGAATATTGCTTCGGGACAAAGTGAGCCTAAATATGTCGTAGCTTCCTTTTGAGTTGACTCAGACGATAGACCTGCTGAGATAAGTCTGTTCTCATGATGCGTTCGTACAGATCTTTTATATAAGTCAGAGTTTATATGTGTTTTATCTGAAATTTCTCTGGTAAATATATCACTTCGTATTGAATTTGCATCCTTTTTGTAACCATAACGAAAAAAAAACCAAAAAAACTTGAGCATTTGCACGAATGCCTGTGGCCTTTTTTTGCATTAAAGTAAATTCTAGAAGACTGCCGATTGCCGAGGAGATAAAAGATTTGGCAAAGCAACCTTCTTCCCTTGCTTCTACTTAGAATCATATCTTAACAAATTTCTCACGAGTCACTGCAAAAATACTGTTTAGTTGCCATTGAGATGTCCTTGTCTACTGTGAATACCAGGTATTTCAGCGAATGCTTCTTGCACCAATACTATTTTTGTTAGTCACTATAAGAGTGCTAATAAAGGCAAGGAAAGTGTGGTATAGTTGAATGATACTTTTAATGGAGTCATACATAATAACGCTTAGGGATATCAGATACGAGAAAATAGAAATTTCACAACTGAGGTCTGAACCTGCATCTTCCACAGTTCGCGAGCAGCATCCTCAATGGGCGTTAATGTCTTTAAGGCATTAACATTTACAAACCTGTCAACATCCTGTTTTATTGATATGTATTGTTCTGGAGGGAGATATCACATATTATAATGTACAATGAGCCAAATAATTTTCGTTCATAAAGTTTGAGCCGTCATGGCTACAGAGCTCCACCTAAGGCAACCTAAAATGGGGGGACCCAGTGTATGACCGTTCTGTTCATGCAGTTTGCGCCATTTTTGCTACTGATCAGTGCAAAAGTGTTTTGAAAATTAAAACGATTCTGACTTTAATGTTTTGAAGTAGCGATGCTCTGGTAGTTTGTGCGGACACTGGCATCGGTCTAATAACCTTTATATGAAATGTGTAGATGCTTGTGCAGGTCTTTGTACTTTTGCTATGAAATGTGGGCCAATTAAACAGTGTAGATTTCATCGACATTGGCTTTAAATGCTTCTTCTAGAATTGCTTGAAGCATTCTCTGAAATGTCTGGTACATCCTAAAATAGGTGTGCCATTATGAGGTGTCAATGTTACGTGCTACTGTGTTAGCTTAGAAAGCACTCTTTGTTAGAGCTCAATTCAGCAAACACTGCCAAGATCACCGCGCATTGAATGGAATTAGTGCCGACGTAGCCTAGGGGCAAGCCGTTTTAAGGGAACTGTAAGGAACCATGGTACACAAGGGCGATCTTTTGCCTGGAAACTTAGTTGAGACTATTGGTTTGAACCACCTTGTGCAGAACACGGATAGCCAGTATGGGTCTTGCCAGATTCTCTATCACAATCATCATCATATATTGAAGCACTTGATTGGTGCTGCATAACTGTGGTCACTAAACCTTTCATGAGTCTAGCCAAACATCCTTTTCGGAGGAGCGTTAATTCACTATACCTGTAGAATAAGCATGTCATGCTTACTGTACTGCAAAGTTTCATAATGTCCCAATCTTTCAGGTTTCATCAATGGGTATTGGACTCTACGAGCTCAGATATGAGTATCAGGAGAAATATTTTATTGTGATGTTTCATTGATGTCACTATGTTGTATTATTTAGTGAAGTTTCCTGCTAGTATGTGGCCCTGTCTCTTTTGACGAATTGTGTCGTCTTCGCAGTTTCCTCTGCAACTTTACCTGATAAAGGAAATGGGATGCAATTTTTTCTGACCAGCTTTTCTATTTCATTTCGTATGAAAGCTATCAAGGTGCAATGCACTTCTATCTGGGACCATGTGCCTTTTGTGTCACTATCTCTGAATGGTGGACGGATTTGAGCCGATTTTTTCGCACGCCTTTGAAACACCCGTCTCGGCAACCAATGTTACTTTGATGGCCGCTAGTGCATTTGCTGCGCGTGGCATTTTTCACGGTTGAAGAATCACCAGGTTTGCGTTAGTGAGTTGTGTTCTTGATAAGGCGAACATAAAGAAACTCTGGAACCAGTAGCTTCGTTTCTCAGCAGCTTGTATCAAATGGAGCTGTTCCACATTGACAAAAAAAAATTGTTTCTCCTTCATTAGTCATTCGACTGCCTGGTTGTAACTATTGGAAAATAATTTAAAATGTTAAGCTTCATCTCTAAAATTTTTTAGCAAATTTTCATAGTTCATTTAGCTACATCTATTGTTTGCCGACAGGGGTTCATGTGACGAGGCGATAATGTAAAGAAATTTGCAAAGCTTTTTCTTTGGTAAAATAGAGTGGATAGCGTGAAAAAATGCTAGGGCTTATAGATATGCAAGTCCTGGTGTTTCGAAATAGTGCCAGCAGTGAAAGGAGGTCCGCTTCAGTGGTTCCTGTAGCGCAGACGCGAAATTGCTGTCGAAATGGGTCAGATTTTGGTTTCCCGAATGAGAGGCAAGTGTGAGGTGTTATCGACATTTCCAACAGTAGCAGCTTCATTTGCGTTTCTCGCATATGTCGTGGCACCTGTCATAACTGCTGTAGCTAGTTTTGCCATAACTTTGGAACGTCGAACTACGAGTGGAGAAGGAAAAAGGCTTGAAATGGAGCGCATGTTTTCGCTGTTGTAAACGGTGGCAGCCGGGTGTTCATCGCAGTTGGCGAAAGGTTGCAGCGTCGTGTCCTGGGTAGTTTAGCGAGTGCTGCCGTGCCGCAACTTGTGTTATCACCCTCAGATGCAACACGTTGGCATGTTTTCACACAGTAATTGTGTGAATGTACGTAGTCATTCGTTCATTCTGTGAAGTCACTGTAGTCCCATTCACACCCTGTTACGTAGGCCAGCCATCAGCGTAGCCAAGAGGGACGCAATCTTATTTATTCCACTTGCTGCTTGTAATGTTTCTCTCTTCATCCGACATGTTGTGGTATGGCTTAGCACAAACGTTGACCAGACTTTCGAGTGTGTCATTTTTCAGTGCATAGTGGCAGAGCAAATTGCGACAGCATCAGGAGCAGGCATGTTTGGTCATCGGAAAGTCTTGGACAAAGTTACCAGAGATAGTGGCACGTCATGCAGTGCTATACAGACATTTACACTGTAAAATACTGGAAAGTATATATAAATATATATATATTATATCCACTTTCATAGCAGAGCTTGTAATGAGGCCTAACATTTCACACATGTATATTGGCGAGCTTCGCCTACTTACTATTATCCTGAACTTCCCTTGTACTGAAAATCCTAGTGTGCTTGCAGAGAAACCCAGCTAGATGCATAGCTTCCATCAGTCTTCCTGAATATGAAGTATAGGAATTTGAATATTGCATGAGAGCTTTCTTTGTTCAATGCGGTTCTCTTCTTTTGAACAGATATACTTTTGAAAACATATTCGTACTAAAAGATAATAATTCACCATGTTGTTATTCAATTATCAGTTAGAGAAAAAAGTGTCCTCAAGATTGAGGGTTTTCATTGGATTTGAAGGAAATGGGACTGGGTAACAGCATGAGGAAAACTTCGGAACGACACATGCCATGTGGCTATGAGCTCCAATTTAACGAAAGGTTGACGGAAGTACGCACCTTGCTGTTGTATAAAGCCCAGGAACCAACTTGTAAACTTACCCGTGTACATGCTCCATCTCCTCGACCAAGTCTCCCGCTCTACCAGCCAACATGTTCAACACTGCCATTGTAAAGAAAACGAAAACAGTGTTTTTAATGAAGCTGTTTATAATAGTTATATACCACGTGAAATTAAAAGAAATATATACGAGGTTTGTTAGCATAGTGGCTAGCGTCCCTAGCTGCGACCGAATGCGGCTAAAATGTGCGACACTGGCACAGCTCTGCATTCAGCATACATTAGAATGGAGGTGGCGCTGTACGAGTTTGCTGCTTGTCGGAACGTCGTGTTTTGTCGTGAAGGGTGTTGGTAAGCTGTAACTACATCATTGCACTATCTTTATTGTGTGTTTTTTGTACTGTAAAAGTTGTGGAGCTTTATGGTTTGCTGGGCTTTTATTTTACCTTTTCGAGATTCTCTCACTTGTGAATGGGTTCCTGTTCCTGGTGACATTTCTGTCTGTAAAGCGTTAGCACGAATTTACTTCTGGTGATGGTTCAGGCTAGTGTTCATGCACGATTGTTGCACACAGTTGAACAAAAAGCTCTTTTCTATATCGTTTCTAAAAGTAGATTTACTGGTGTCATTAGACTTGGATTTGCTGTTCTCTCCAGTTGCAGTTATTTCTGTGAGAATACCAGTACCACACGAGTGATGTCATTGATGCCGCGGTATTGGCCTGGTTATTGGAACTGCTGTAAAAGCTGGGCAAGCCCAGTGCGCATGCGATCGAAACCTCGGCAACTGTGGTGTGGTTGTCACCATTTTCACGACCCGCGAAATGCATGGCTTGATGCACCAAGGTGGTGGTTCGAGCTAGTTGGTGCTCGATGCTCAACCATTTCTTGTGTCACTTCTTGGACTATATGGACGAAACAGACATGGACGTCGCAAGCTTCCAACTGAATTTATTATTAAAGTGAGACATACATACGTACATGTGTGTGTATGTGTGAAAGAACTAAAAGACCAATGACGCAGGTGCGCAGTGTGCTGGCATGCATCAACTACTCACTACCGCAGATATAGTGTCTGTTTCGTCCTTTGCCCAGAAAACTGCACAAGCTGTAATTGAGCCTGCGATGTGTAACATCCCGGGCTATTTGTGGCTTTCTTGTCTGAAATTGCGGTTGCATATTTATTACTTCAGAGAGGGTCATACCTCCGAACTTTCACTTACCACGAGGCTTCCTTGCTGTCTATGTGACAGTGGGCTGTTTATGAAGGTTTAAATTTCAAAATGAAGTTCACCATGAGTATGGTGCTCGGTGTCTGTTCCATCTTGAGATCGATATTTTCGCAGTTGTATCATCAGCACAACTCTGCTTCACCGGGGGGGGGGGGGCATGCTGATATACATCAGCATTCTGTTTTATGCAGCCTAGCCTAAAATTCATTTGAACACGTGGGTCACTGGATATCTTCCTGCATTACAATCAAGATACGTTCCTGTGGCACTGGTCATTTCACACTCTTGTTATTTTTTGTTTTTCCTTTGACTAGGCTTGAGCCCTGTCACTAGTAGCTTAAAATATTGATATGCGGTTGTTGCACGCGCTTACTTTCTGTGGGTGATTTTATATCTGTATTGTCTGGCTATTATTGTTTAAAATGGTAAGCATATGAAGAGAATCTGCTTTTCATCATGTGCCTGTTCCTCTGTTCTCAGATTAACTTCTTCCTTTTGGGGGAGCTTAGCAGTTTTCAAAAAGCGTCATGCGCTGACCGCTGGTTTGTGTATGTGCCTTTATTCATTCTGTTTGTAGTGCTAGTCATATTGGAGCTAGTGCAGCATTTCTGGAAGTGAGATGCAAGGGGACTTTGAAATCTTGCCTCAATATAAGCTAGTGTTTGTGTTTCGGCTCTGTGCTTTTTTTCTTGTTGGTTGTTTCGATGCTCGTGCTGAGGATTCGCAAATAAGAAAGCTCAATTTTACACCGTTTACATCGCAACAATGCCGAACCAGGTGCAGGTGTGAGTTTCGAATGGCTCTTACCCTTTGTTTCATTCAGGTTAAAGCACCGCCAATTTATAGTCAAACAGCGGATTTTTTTTCCAATTTTTTGGTTATGTTTGTTTCTCGGCAATGAGCCGTCATGGGGAGGATGCTTGTTCGTTATAGGGACCATGCCTGCTTGCTTTGAAGCCATCTTAAGCTTGGAACAGTTCACAGTTATGTCTTCAGTTTTCAGTGTATAGTCACTCAGTTTATTGATGCATTCATGACAACCATTATCTCATTAAAAACATGCATGTGTGAGTTTTCAGACCATGTAGACAATTTCTTACGTTTGCCTAATGATAAACTGCACCATGATGTGTTAAATTCTCTACATTGCGGTGGTGCAGGCTAAAGACTGAGACAACAGACAAAGCACACCATGAGCCATGTAGCACAGTGTGTGCCTTTTTGGGTTCTTTATAAATTTAGCGTGCGCTACTGTCAAGTAGAATGCAATGTCGACAGAACCGCGTTACCACCCTCATTGTGCTAAGTCGTCTCTCGCATTTCTAGATCTATGGCAGTTCCTCTACTAGCCAGTACGAAGAGAGTTTCCAGAATTTTGAAATGATGTCAGTTAATGGGATGATGCAGTCTTCTTTCAGGAGTCGAGCTGACAAAAGAAGGAGATCGTTTAGAATAAACTGATAATCATTATTACTTTCCTGAGTGGTCCCCATGATGATAATCTTTCATCAGAGTGTGCATCAGCTATCATTATGCTCGAAGTTGTGTTTTTTGTGTGCTCCCCACGCAAAGTGGAAGCAGTAGAATGATCTCGTAAACCAGAGCAGATGACATTTCGTACCATCGCAGCATCTACTTTTGGATCTCTCTCAGCATTAAGTTGCATGTAAATGTTACTTGATATGTGTCAGTTTAGTTTGAATGTTACGGAGAAGCATATGTTTAAAGGAACTTTCAGATCTATATTTTTCTGAAAGGTAGTGTAAAGTGTGTCTGGGTAGCCTTTCACTGCCATTTGTTAGGCATATGCCATAAACGTTTGTTTCGTCTCCTGGTATTGCACGCAACAAGTGTGGGACGATTGCATGAGTGATAGTTTAAACTGATACATTTTTCGAACTGCGTTCTGTGGGCTGTTTGCTCAGCGTTCCGAATGTTTGCCCTGTGTCAGAATTTATTTGGTTTTGTTTCTCATTTACATGCCTCAACTTTTTTCGGGAGGGGGTTGGTTCGTGGGAAGAATCTTGTTGTGTCCTTTCTTCCGTTCGTGAAGCTCAGTATTGACATTTACAGGAGCATGAGTAGTTGATTCAACATGAGCTGCTTTGACCTGCAAAGATTGCTTTTGAGGAAAATATAGTAAATTTTTGCTGGGACCAAGTTTTTTGTTACTATTCCATGATCCTGGTTTAATTTTCTGGTAGTTGAAACGTGGTCATTGTTCAGGGTTCATTTAAGAGGCATTACCAGTTCACACAAGATTATGAAACTTGGGAGATCTACAGTGCTCTTTCTACTGCTTTGTCTGACCTGTTTCTTTATCTGGTGTGCACTATTGATGCCTTCTAAAGTGATCCTCACTTTCTTAGATATATCTTACCACCGCTTAGCCTAGGAGCTTTCCACGTGTTCTTTTCAAGGTGTCAGAAAAAGAAGTCTTTGGTTCAGATTTGTGCAATGTGGCACCATAAAAGTGGACTCGTACCTGGAGTGTTGTGGAGTTTCACACCAGCACCAGGATGCATGAGTTCTGTGCCCATAAACATAATTTATGCAGTTATCGTGGCACAATGCGAAGGATGAATATAATGATAAACCGTGCAAGACATGCTGTTAAGGGAAATGATAGAGTTGTGCCAGACATTACCTTTCCAGCTTTCTTCCAAGTTGCGTCAATGTGAGTTTTCTTAAAATGCGACCATGTCAGTTCTGGTACGCATTCTTATGTCATCCGAATAGGCCCTTTGTAGAACTTGTTACTCACTTCAGTTGCAATCTTAATGCTTTGTAAGCATCGCCTGTGCGCATTTGTGTACAGATTTCAACAACTTTTTTTTTTCTGTGCTGTGGCTTTTGTGGTATATTTATACTTTTTTCTTGACTTGTTTTGATAGTCCACAACACTGTGCCAAGTGGTGTATTTGCAGATTTCGTGGTGTATGCAGGAAGTGAAAAAAGTATATTTTTTTGTATAAAGCACATAGGCTGTCTGCTTTGAGAAGTTGTGTTTTAAATGTTTTTTTTAAGTCTCATAACACTGTACAGCTTGTTTTTAACATGGTTGCACTTTCTGTGTGCCATCCTTTCAATTTTTCACCATTTTTTTTTTTTTCAATTTTCTTTTCCTTACATTGTCGATTCTTGCGAGAATGGGTTGTTGATGTGTAAATTATTTTTCTTTTTTGCTAGTAGGACATTGTCTGTACATGATTATTATTATTATTATTCTAATTATTATAAAGTGAGCACTTTTGGCATTGAGCAACACCCAGGTGTGGCCGTGTCACTACCTGCAACATTTTGCAAATACAGGGCAACAAAAGACACTATCCTGTAAGCATGTTTGCTGTCTCTACTTTTTTGGCATCACTCATGAGAACTCTCGATGGCATGTCCTTGTGTGGTGTCATACTGACCCCAAACAGCATTCCTAATGTTAGACCCTAGGATGTTGTCTTTTGCCTCATTGTGACAGAGTTTAGGCTGCCACAGTTTTGTCAAACAGTTTGCTCTGAACTTATAGATGTAGGAAGTGAATAGGTCTTTCCGGTAAAACTCAATAGTGTATACGTTTTGAACAAAAAGTTGCAGCAAGAGATGATAAAAAAATATAAAATTTTATGCCAAACCAGGTACATTCTTTTGTGTTGGTGGTCACATAACTACAATGTTATGTATAAATAATTCTATTTGCTTTTAGGTATTGCACCATCAATTTTGCTATTGTAATGTTTTTACCATGATGTTTACCATGTAGTATGTAACTAAATTACTGTGCTGTGCACTAAAAAAAAAAAGATTTTTAAATTGTACATTCGGCTGCAGTAGGTACAGTGGTCTTCAAAACTTTCGAGATCACGCTGCCTTAGGATTGATTGATTGATTTGTGGGGTTTAACGTCCCAAAACCGACTATTTGATTATGAGAGACGCCGTAGTGGAGGGCTCCGGAAATTTTGACCACCTGGGGTTCTTTAACGTGCACCCAAATCTGAGTACACGGGCCTACAACATTTCCGCCTCCATCGAAAATGCAGCCGCCACAGCCGGGATTTGATCCCGCGACCTGCGGGTCAGCAGCCGAGTACCTTAGCCACTAGACCACCGTCGCTGCCTTAGGGTTACATATCGTAAAAGCTTCAGAACTTTATGCCATTTCTGTAGGTCTTCTGAGGTCCTTATGTAGATAATGTTCTTGGAAAGATAATTTCGTGGGGGGAATGAAGGAAGCATTAATTAGCTTAAGTATTACCAGGCCTATGTTGCAAGATATTACTGCAATTTTATGATTAGCTTACTCAAACCGTTTTCCTCATTGTTAAATGTCACGAAAGTCAAATATTAAATGATAGTTGAATAAATTTCACTACCTGGAAGGATCAATTGTCGTTGGGCCATTTGTAGCTTGGCTGAACGTATTATGTCATTACCCACTGAGAAATGACGTGCAGTAAGGAGGTACACAGGGTTACGTTACGGAAAATCGATCTGCGGACATTTTTTCTCATACGGGGACATGCCCAAGAGATTCTGAGCCAATAGCACCTCATGCTGCATTGATGCCTCTTGTGCCGATGTCCTTTCAGTGACAGTGCATGCTTGTTGGATTACGGACGGGTGTTATGTTGCGGTCTTTTTTTTTTGGTTGCCCTGTGCAGTTGAGGTTTTGACCACTGTTCACATATTTGAGTTGCTGGCGACTGTTGATGACCAAGGGTGGTGTCACATCGTGTTCGTTTTTGTTTGTTAGCTTTTTACAAAGTTATGTTTGTATTCTGTGCTCTAGGGGTGGACTGTATGTGTGGTTTTCAGAGGATGATTTTCCTTTCCTAATGCATGCAAGGTGTCTATTTGAGTGTATGTATTTGCATATTGCATCGAATGGAAATGTGTGTGTGTGAGCAATGTTTGAAAGCAGCCACATGAGAGTTTCTGTGTGTACATGTGCGTTCCTCAATACAGGAGGTGCGTGCTGTTTCTAGATGTCGAAGTTCCATATGCTAATAAACACATTCACCAATTTTCTTTACATGTGTATCAAAAGAGAATGACAAAGAAACAGCTGAATTGGCAGCTTAGTGTGTGCATTTCAATGCTCACTACTAGGTTATACTGGGCAACCTTGCCAAACACACTAGCATCAGTCGTACACGGTGGTCTTGCCAAATATGCCTCAATCGCACTTGGCGTCCTTGTCAAATGTGCGTACATCAGTCATACATGGTGGTCTGGCCAAACACACATATTAGCCATAGTTTGCATCTTTACCGAACACAAACATCGCTCGTGCACGGTGGTCTTTCCAAACTTTTACACCAGTCCTACTTCGCTGCCAAACTTATATGCACTGTTTATATACCGTGACCTTACAAAAAAAATTGACCGCCTATCTGCATGTTTCGTTGCAAATGTCATCGAAAAGGCGATAGTCTTCTGTCAGGAGGCACTGCAGGAAATATGGATGCCATCTGGCAGTAACGTCAGAAAACAGCAGCTTGTGCAGAACACATGGAGGCTGGAAGGTGACAGTATCGTGTTGGCAGAGCTGCTTTTTTGTGTACAGTGTGACATTTTCGGCAAAGTGTCACAAACATCTTCTTTTTGTGCACAGGGTCACATCTTCAGTGCAGCGTAAGAAACACTAGAGTCTTTAGAATCACGTATTTACATATTTTAATTTAAAAACACACCTAATAGTACTTAAAAGTTAATGTTGCACCTCAAATATGTGCAACGTTTGCTTTTTGATGACAGTGTTCACAAGTATGAATGTAGCCACCAGATTAAGATGGCTGACCTTTGAGGAAGTGTTCAAACTTTTGCCTGGTGGCTGAAACACAGGCTAAAATCGCTGTGTTCAACTATTCCAGAAAGAAGATTGTCTTTAATACTTCGTGTCCTTTTCAAACAAGCGTACATGAATTATACAACATGGTGGTCTTGCCAAGCACACATACTTCCGTAGTACCTGTCGTCCTTGTCGAACATACATTTGTAAGTCATACCCTATGACGTTGCCAAACACACATGAACTGCATTTTGCATCTTTGCCAAACACATACATCAGTCGTGCAAGGTGGTGTTGACAAACACATACATAAGACGTACATGGCGGGCTTGTCAAACACCTATACATCAGTTCCAGGTCGTACTTGGCATTCTCGCCATACACACATCAACAGTATACGGCGGTCCTGCCAAACACATCAGTTGTTCTTGGCGGCCTTGACAAACGTATACATTACTTTGCTGTGAATGCTTAGAAAGCACATGAGACCTACGACACTGGCACAAAGGCCATGCTGAGATATTCCTCCTAATCTTACGGTTTCTCTCGCACACAATAGAAAAGCACTAGTGGAGTTTCCAGGAAAGCGCCGTAGGATAAGTGCTACAAAGTGCTGGAGTTGTACAGAGAAAGGTTCCCTTTTCTACAATGCACATGCGGTTTTATCCCCATCAGGCGCGAATCGGGATGTGCTATCTACGAATAGGTAAAATTCTAAGGCAATTCCAAGGCGCACAGTAGTATAGACCAAAGGACGTCTGTCTCGACACCCGGCGCATACTCTCGCCCACAGATGGTCCTTTGGTTTGGAAATGCGCCAAGGCGTGTATCTGTTGCGCCAAGCACACATGGCGAGTGGTGTCTCTGGCTTCAAAATACGAGAAAGTGCCTATTCACGCCGCTCCCGCTTAAAAGAACTCCTCTGGGCACCACTACGTCGTCTTTAGATGAGAACGCAATCAGCGCTAGAAGAAGATGGCATACTCAGCTGTTTTCCAGTGGCGTGTACTTCCGATGTGAGGAAGGCATTCAAGAACATTGCTCATTGCAGATGAAATGCGTTTCATAAACTTGTCAGAGGGCCTTGCGCAGCAATGCATCTCACTTAAGTTTCCCCACTGCTATTATAATAAGACGCTTCAGATATCGAAACCACGTCAGTTCTGTGCAGCCTGTGCAACGCTGTGCAGCATTCCTCGACACATGTGTCGTAGTTTGTCGAAGTAAACAAGGCAGAGGCATGTGCACAAGCGATGCGCAGCAAACCAAACAAAAGTAGTATCGCACGTCCCGACTTCAAACGGGAAAGCGTCAAGGGTAACGCGGTTTTAATAGACACTGGTTTTTCATAACGTCTTGTGGTCGTAGTCAATCACGCGGATCGAGTGTTGTCGTTCAGGCTTTCTTGAACAGTATACGTGCTCATTCGTCGATACGCATTTCCAAAATATCGTGCTCTTTGCTTTCGCAGGCCACGGAAGCCTGCGTCATCGCACGTCGTGCACTGTTACAAAGGGCACAGAAATTTCCAAGTGTACGTGATCAGCGGAAAAACGAGTACGACGACCCACCGCACAAATAGCTCCGTCATATTACTTACGGCCAGATAACATGTATGTCTCCATGACTAAGCGCTCCGTATTCGCAGCGCACGGTCGTGGAAGGAAGCAGAACTAGTCAAAGGGGAGGGTGTACGGCGGAAGGAAGAAGTGGGCGGGGGGGGGGGGGGGCGTGACCACTACCACCACTATTCACTTCGGCGCACAGAAGGCGAGCGCACACAGCCTTGCGATGCTTGCAAAGAAGTGGCTGTGTGGGTTTTGCAATCGGGCTTTGTGTGGCGGCACATATTTACCGCGGGCGCGCTCTGCAACCGTCTGTGGCGCTGCTTATATGGCTGTAAACAAGCAAGTCCATGCTTTCATCGATCTGTAACACCGACAAGGTATGTTGATCAACGGTATGTTTTTTCGCGTGGCTGAGATCGAGTTGTCTGTTTTTAAATATATATATATATATATATATATATATATATATATATATATAGTTCTCTAAGTGCATCCATGCTGCATTCGACCAATTGAATTACACTTACACGGAGAAATAAGAACTAAAGTTGTAAGCACTTTTGCGCATGCCAATCACTTCCGAAAGTGCTGATCTTGAAGAAACATGCGCCTCGGTATGTTCTTTTCTTTGTTCGTGTAGCTGACAAGTTCGATCATGATTACTCCTACGTTAGTACCAACGTTTTCAGGGCTCCCTCGTTGACCAAAGAGCGCGCGAAGCCATGGGAATTCATTGCACAACCAAGATAAACAATCGGCGACTTGCACGGTAAAGGCTGCGATATGCGACTGATTGCGTTTTATTGCCCAACAGGACATGGCGGCTCGCGTATACGGGATCGTCGATAGATGGCGCTGTACATTTTCGCTGTGAGTTCAGTCCATCCATCCATGTGGATGTGCGGACGAAACAATCGAACACATTGTGGTGCAGTGCAAGGGACATCGAACCTCGCTGTAGAGGAGACACTCCGTTGCATGTCGCACAGGGTTTCGAGGGTGAACGTGGGGAGATGAACAGAGAAGCGGTAGAGCGCACTAGGCGGTGCTTGGAAAGATGGAGAGTGTTATCTCTTCAGAGGGTCGCGAATTGAACAGACCTCTCCCTCTCTCCTCTCTCTATCTCTGTTTTTTAAAAGAGTAGGTCGTCTCTCACATTCATTTTAATCGTTTAATTTTCTCCCTTTTTCTTTTTCCTTTTGCTGGGAGTTTTTATTGCCAAGCCGCCACACACGCGGTGACCTGTTATAAAGGGAACGGCACCACATCATCATCACACCCCATTTTACTTCTATTAGCACCATTACCACCTAAGCATTTTATCTGGCCCCACTGCCTTATGTGTATCAGTACACCTTTTTTGTAACGTTACTCGGTCTCAGTGTAGCATTTTCAGGTAGGCAAATGTTTTCACCATATATACACAAGATTTGCTTCTACATTCTTCCGGTCGCTTCTCATATGACGATGGGGCGGTTTCGTGCAACCCCGAGAAGTCTTTTTCAACCCTCACGTTGATCCAAATTTATTTATTTATTTATTTATTTATTTATTGCGTGGTGCAGGACCTAAACAGACCCATACTCTCAACATACAGCTCAACTACCGGATGGAGTCCCTACACTTTCTCTTCTCCGCCTTCACATCCGCTCCGAGAAACAATCCCGTGGGACTTTTATACGCGTTATCTGCAGAGCAGATAACGCGTGTAGATAACCGTGCTGCAGAGTCGCAACCTGCCGCACGCAAGCGGAGGGTGAAAAGAGCGTCGCAGATACGCTCTTTCACCCTCCCCTTGTGTGCGGCAGTTCTCTCTTCACGTGTGGTGCGGCTGCGCAGGATATCGCGTAGATAGGACCTGTACCATTTCGGATGCCGCCTATGAGGAGCTGTCTATAGATGTGTCAAATTTATACGTTTTTTCAAGCTACTCAATAGTCTATTGCAACGAAAATCACGTCACAGGATGCTAACCGATATTTTTCGTTATAGAAACTAATACTAAATAAGTTGTAATTGTAAAAGGGAAAGAAGAGAACCATTCATTCGTAGCCCGAAGCCCCAAGTAAATCCATACGGATTTCTCGGAAATAAAGCCTATTATTTGCAAGTTGTAATTGTCTATTTATGCTGAAGTCGCTGAGGCTCTCTGTTGTGCCATGAATAAAGTGATATATAAGACTGGAAATATAGCGCTAGTTTTTTCGTTGTGTCCATTGCAAGCGAAAGAGAATTACACTTTTGACATGGCCCACTGGATGCAGCATGCGCAACTTCTCTCTGAACATTCACCGTTGTGATCTTATGCAGCATGAACTTGCAATATGAAGTTAACTTATGACGAACTTATCATGCGAGACGCTCAGCTGATCCGAAGCCACTACTCGATGAAAACAGCCAAAACAAATGGCAATTGCGTGCGTTGCGTGTCAAACGGTCAACTTTTGTTACTTACACGGACATTGTGCGGCATTACAGGTTGAGCCGTTTCCGCTACCCTCTAGTTATTGAAGTTGGAAGTTTATTTTAGGCAAAAGGAAAAGTGGTACATTAAGAGAAGGAGATGTACAAATTGCCTTTTTGCCTAGGGGACCGGTGAAGAGACATAAAGGCCCGACAAAGCGTTTTCCCTCTGTAAACCCAAAACCTACCAAAATAACATAACGCTCAGTGTAAAATAAAACGTAAATGTGTTGCTACATGAAAATCACATCAGTGAGAGGATAAAAAATATATGAGAGAAATTTGCTCAGGTAATGACATCCACAAATCATCTACGGGAACAGCCAATGAAAAACAGTTGATAGAATACACTCAAACGCTAATGTGAAATCTTCCCGCCGACCAATGGCGTTGGCTTCAGCCGGATGCACTTACCCATACTTAGCCAATTCCAGCCGCACCTGCTGTCCCCACATCGCCGACACAGCTCGCCTTCAGCCACATTCTTACTCATTGCGTGGACATGCCCGCGAGCACGGCCGCTGGATGAAAAGTGCTTGGGTTCTCTCTTTTTCATACATTCAAGGCAGCAGCCATAGCGCGCTTATGTGTGCTCCGAAACTACATGAAGGTTCTACATGAAGGCCCTGTGTCTTGCCAACACAAACTCGGTCGCAGCGCGAACGTTTGCTGAGGTGCGTGCACACCAGAGCACGGCACACCTTTGTGTGGTGTGCAGTTTTTTTATTGGTCCTCTTCCCTTTTCGTAATTCTAACACGGAGCACATTCGCTGGAGCTACGTCGATTAGTCTCACGTCTACAGAAGGCTACGGCATTCCAAGGGCCGTTCCACGCACTTCCCGCACAGCCGCAACGCACGTGCCGGTACCCATACCGCACGCAAGCGGGGGACAGATAAGCCAATGGGTGACGCTCTTCCACCCTACGCAGTGTGGCCAATCGGCCTATTTGTCCTCCGCTTGTGTGCGGCAAGTGCCCCGGCACGTGCGTTGCGGCTGTGCGGGAAGCGCGTGGAACGGCCCTAAGTGATTCTCGCTGACCATCTCTAAGCCAGGGTAACCTGTCTTCGAATGCGTTTCGGTATTTTAGGTGCAAAAAAGTTTTACTCAGTCAATCAGGTGAGAGAGACGGAATAACCAAACAAAAAACAAAGCACGAATCGCGAGACATTTGCAGCAGTGCAGACGACTCGAAAAACAAACATCAGTCACTTTAGCAACTCTAAGCGTGTGTTCGTCATGTTTCGCGTTGTAGCAATCATTTATTGTTGTAGCAAAGAAACATTATAATGAGCGTCGTCCAGTGGTGAAGGCTTGCACAGTGAGCCCCCGGTCACTCTCCGTTCGCTGTAAGGGACGATGCTCCACTCCGCTCGTCAGCCGGCCTCTGTCGCGGCGAGCTTAGGATTCCGTTTGGTTTTCCCATTTCGATGGCTCTTTTATGCTCGGCATAGACCTGTGTATGACACATGAACTCAACGAAGAACACTCCAGACCTGAGGAATATGTACTCAGCCCAAGAGGCACTAGCGAGATAAAAAAAAGAAAACTGACGCCAAACTTCCGTTGAAGTTTAGCACTACGTCTTATCTGCGCCTTATTGTCATGGAAGCAGGCCTGTAGCTATGGGAGGAGAAGGAAGTGTCTTAGTGCCCCCCTTTCTCTTGAAATTTTGCCAGAATAGGTGTTTTAACGAAAAAAGATGTTTTTCTGACGTAGACAAGGCCTCCAGCAAGTGACCCTCCTCCTTAAAGATAAGCATTTCCTGGCTACGGTCGTGCATGGTTATCCGGAAAGGGTTACATAGCTTGACTAGCACACGCAGATTACGCCTATCCAGGTGAAACGTCCTTGAGGATTGCGGGCCAAGTTTATTGTTACAAGTCTGACTAATTTTTCCAGTCATGTCACGGCAGTGAAAGAAAGGCTGAATTCGCACGGATAATTGATTCATTTTGCGGTATTGGTATTGATTCAAAGTGTTCATGTTGTTCGGGTTTGCTTCTTATATCTGTATTTGTGTGTGCGCCTTTTCCCGTCCTAAAACTTGTCCTCGATGTTCTCTTAGTCCGTTGTTACCTTTTCTCCGCTTCAGTTGTTTAAGACGTAGAATACCAACTAGAACGCTCCCACACCTTGCCTAAAACTAAAGAGAGGCTGGCTGTTCTAAATGAATCCCGTCTCCTCTCCCTCTCTGACACCTCACATAACGTTTCGATACCTCCGGGATTGTCCTAGTTTAACCGAACATGTCATGCGATGACGTCACAGATGACGTGACAACAGTGTCACACGTTCCGCCCATCTCGAAAGCTGTGTCGCCATTGTTGATGTCACAGCTTGTCATTGGTGGTATCGTGTTAGGCAACTTTGGTACTGGTCGTGTTCACGACGCCTGACGGCGTATTTCGCGACTCCCGGGGGTTATAACGCTAAATACTGAACCCCTTCTCCACTTCAGACGGGTACAGCTCGTTCTTGCCGAACTGTCTCCAACTGTTTTGGTCGAGTTGTGCTTATACCAGTTCAAGCTCCGCGTGTGTCGCATGAACGCTCAAACCATTCTACGAATGTTGGAAATTTCAAGCAGAATTTTCGCTTGGGTTTATTTTCATTACCAATTATAGCTAGCTAGCTTTTCTGTAAACAGCAATTTACAATTGTGTTCTTGTAGTGTTCAGTGCGAGGAAAAGGAAAATAGGTCAGGGGTATAATACAGGACAAGACAGCGTGTCCTCCCTTTTACGTCTATGTTCCCCCTCAAAGCTAATGCAAGCACCCCCCCCCCCCGGCCAATAATGAATGGGCGCTCATTTAATTTTTTTAGTGGTTAAAGAGCCTGATTGCCGCGCTTAGCTAGTTTGCCCGGCTGAAACGCTCCGCAAGCTATTCCGAAAATTCCGTATGTTTCCAATCGAAGTACATGTTTTGCGTATATTTTCCAAACATTCTTCTTATATTTCCGTAAGGATCTTATAGAAAATACACAGAATTATAGCTACGGCATATAAAATGTTTCAGTAGAGTGGGCGGGATTCCGCCAAACTTCTTAAGACTTATAGTGTGTCGTGCCTTCTGCCTCGCTCTTCTTTTCTTTTTTTTTTGATGAAGAACTTGATGTTGAAATAGGAACATAAATATTCACTATCAGCTTTAAAATATAACTATTTTAATAAACAAAAGCTTCTCTATATACTGCAAAACAGCAAGTAGAACCAACACCTCCTGGAAAAACTATGCCTGGCACGTCGTTCTCTTTTCAATTGGGAGCCTCTTGCAAGCACGCAATCTCGGAGGCCGTGCCTCCTGCCCTGTGTTGCGACCAGGCCGCCACGTGAGACCGCTCGCCTCCGTACCGCTCAGTCACGTGACATTACCATACCGCTCTGTCACTTGACATGACGGCTGCTAGGAGGCAACTGTGAGAGAGCATTGCTGTGTTCGCAAAGGGTGGCCGTCAGAGACGCTCGACTTCGTACCGAAGGAGGAGGGTAAAATCAGAGGGTTGGGCAGCGCGTTCGCGGCTCACGTTCCACGCATAATTATAAAGATGATAGTCTTTCTTGGAGACCTTCGACGCAAAAGTTTTGGTCTGTCTGTCTGTCTGTCTGTCTGTCTGTCTGTCTGTCTGTCTGTCTGTACATTTGTCTGATTGTCCACGCCTAATGGCATCGGGTACTTGAAACGGCCGACCCCATCCGCAGCGCCCACCAATGTTGCTCAAAATTGAGCGTTCATGCTTGTGCAATTTTGAATTGAAAAGCAATTATTGCGCATATCTGAGGCACCATAACAACACGTATATATTCTGCATGTGCGCCTTTTACTAGAATAGGCATACATAAGTAAATTTAAGGTCCGTAGCGCTTATCACACTGCGCTGACCATGCAACGCTTGCACGGAACGGGAGTAGATTCCAACGCTTTGCTAAGAGGTGACAGTGGTGGCACCTACCCGTCGCTTCGCGTTCTACACCTTATCATCCTCTGAGATGGGCGCGCACACCCGTCTCAGAATCAGCGCGCTTTGTTTTCTAAGAAAACTGCCAGATGGCGCTCATAGTCTCACGTCTGACGTTACTTGATGCGCTCGTTTGCCTCCGCTGCACGCTCGAGGCACTTTTCTTCCGCAGGAACATCAAATAAATGTCTTGTTCACTCTCTCCACGCGCAATACTATCGTATTTCGGACGACATTTGCAGAAACATGCAGATACGGGGCCGATTTTATTTTAGAGGCGTTGGTAGAGCCAACTGTAACGAGAAGCGTGCTCACCTGTACGATGACCTTCTGGCAGTAGCCGAACAGTTTCGTCCAGGCCCTGACCGCCCCGGGTGTCATGCGCGAGCGCAGTTTGTCCTGCATCACCTCCACGAGCAGCTCGTGCATGTTGGCGAAGTACTGGGGCCCCATGGGTCTCCGAAGATGGTTGCGCGCGTTTTTTCGCACCAACTCCGTCTGGGCGCGCGACAACGTGAGCTTAGACGACGGATACCTGCAACACTTTTTGGGCTTGGTCAGCGAACACTGACGATCGTTAGTCGAGGCTTCCGACAACACCAATGCCGAAATGTGATAGCGCAGCGCGCGGCCTGGAATTCACCGTAAATTCTCCAAGTCAGCTAAAGATCTCTCTCTCTTTTCTCGGCAAATGACGCCACCGGCTCAAAATGACTTCGTATCAGGCCTGGTGTCAGCCATTGGCTGATTTCTGCATGGCGCGCTCTGTCGTCACTGGGACCGCCACGACTTGTCCACGCGGGCAGGCATGATCTCATTAAAAATCCGATCATTCGAAAAAAAATAAGAAAAAGTGCTCAAGATCACCAGGCATGCGTGACGTATTTTTTCCCTCCATGCCGTCTCTCCCTGCTTAGCTTCCCGCACTTTCGTCGGGACGAGAGAAGAGAAAATGCAATTGCAGCGTGCGACAAATCTTTATAACTCCGCTCGTTCTGGACGTATTCCGAACATTTCTGCGGAGTTGAACTTATGAGGCATTAAGCCCCGTTACTAAATTCATTCTATTGCTACTTCAAAAAGTGTTCTAGGGCCCTTACATGAGGTCAATAAACAACCCTGTGGTGCTAAAATTGCAATGAAGAGAAATCTGTGCACTCTTGCTACGTGAACATGCTGCCGCGAAAAAATTGTGCGAATGCGCGCTATAGTGAGGAGTTACAGAAGGTTGTAACTTCGTTTTACAGGAGTTAGAACATGACATCAGCTACGCGTCACCGGCGCAGAGCCAACGACCGAGCAGGGCTTCCCGCACATTAGCACGTGTCATAGGGGCGCTGGGAAGAAGCGTGGTTAGAGGAGCACCCTGTCAGCAGCGGTAATGTAGCGAGACTCCTCTTGGTCCTGGAAGCTTTCGTTCTGGCAGTACCGCTTCTTCCGGTAGTCTCGGGCTTAACAAAAAAATGGCAGAAAGCAGCACAAGAAAATTTGAACTGCGCGGCCGAACTACGTCACCGCAGTGCGAAGGCACCGTTTCGTAGGGCAAAGGACCAATCGGCACGTCAGGCTGCCTATGGGCAAGTTGGCGTCACTCTGCGCAAGAGGGGTATTGATCAGGCGCAGGAAAGAAGCACGGGAATCTTTTTTTTTTTTCGAAATGGAGGGTTCATGTAGTGTTCCTGCATATAATACCACAGGTAACATATACAAGAATACTACGTGAGCTAGAGTTTTACATGCTCCCTGCGGGAGCATGTATAAGTTACAGGGACAGGTAACTATATACAGTTACTCTATAGTTCTGCATGGTGCGCAGCACTGTAAATTGGGAAAGTGGGATCACAGCGCCCGACTGTACGAATTGGCGAGCTTGTTTGTGAGTGTAAAAAAAAAAAGCTGGAGTCTGCTTAGTCGCCGTTTAAGCTACAGCTGCTTCTCATAAAGGCAGTCATTTAGACAGCGTTGACTCTGCCTCAAGACACAACTAGTGAACTCGTGAAATGGCTTTTCATAAAAAAAAAAGAAATTAGGAGTGCGATACTTGCTTTGGGAGACGGTTATTTTCCTACGAAAAAAAATGGCAATACCCCTACCGCGATTATGCTGTCAGCGGCGCCAGGCACATATACCGCATGGTCCATTCTGTGCATGTGGGGAACACTTCACCGCCCTGACTGTGTCGCTGACCGGTAGATTGACTTTAATTTATATACGAGAAACATCTCTCATTTACACTTCTAATAAACTGTATCTACATAAAATCGATGCATGGTTTTAGTATTTTTATAGTGATATACGAATACATTTCGCAAATATACAGGGTGTCCCACATAACTTGAGCCAAGAGTTTGAAAGTGAAAGGCACTTAGAAGGCGAATTGAACCGAACGCATACTACTCGCACTAGCCTGTCAGTACTCAGGCTATTTTTTTAATTTCTCCCCATACTAACTATAACAAGTCTTCATTACCTATTTTTTCAATTATGGGCTGGAAACCAAAAATATGAACACTGAGATGTAGACCACTTTCAGAAAACACCGACAAAATTGTTTCCTGTACGATATGTCTTGCGCTGTTATTTTTTCCACGTTGTTAAGAAAGCCTGCGAAACGTGAAAAAAAAAAAAAAAGCCGCGTGACGGACCGCGAGGGCACTGCTATAGTGCTGCTATCTAGATGCTTTCTTTAGAACGCGGAAAAAATAACAGCGCTAGACGAATCTTACACAAAACAATTTAGTTGGTGGTTTCTGAAAGTGCTCTACATCTCAGGGTTCATATTTTGGGTTTCCAGCCCATATTTAAAAATACGTAAATAAAATCAATTAATTATTTGTATGGAAGAAATAAAAAAGATAGCCTGAGTACGTACAGGCTAGTGCGAGTTGTACACGTTTGGTTCAATTCGCCACTGAAATGTCTTTCATTTTCAAATTCTCAGCTGAAGTTATGTGGGACACCCTGCATATCTCGATGACTGTATTTCAAATGCAGATACGTAAAGCTATCTCCAGGACACTCGCGATACTACCTAGCGCTGCGCCGAATGCGGTGTCGCTGGCATCCAGCTCACCACGAGGACCCGCTGGAAACGATGTGTGGTATCGCGCCCACGGCCGTCACCGACGATCCAAAGCCGCCAAAGAGGCCAGAGTTCTGGTACTCATACACCAGTGTAAACTCGCCCCCGGCAGACAGTGCTACTGGCGCCACCACGCGACCTCAGCGCCATCTCTCGAAACCAGCCAAGATCACTACGGATAGTCCATCGTACACACGTGGGCTTTAAGGCCGAAACGATTCTACAAGGAGTGATAGGACTGCACCCCCCCAAAAAATGACAGCATATCTACGAAGAGAATGATGATGAGTGCGAGAAGCTCCGGGGGATCATTAATCCCCGTACATTGCCCGCTCCTTCATACAAAGACGTGATAACACGTGCGTACAGTATATGCAACGTTGTTTATTAATCACAATGCTCAATGATATTGAGATGTTCATATGGATATTCATATGAATATGCATATGGCTATTTATATAGATATGGATGTCCATACCGTGCCACGTCGACAGACAGGTGACATGTGGCTCGACCTTAAGGAGCTTCGGCCCTAATATGCGCCCTAATAAACGATCATCCTTAAAGAACGAGCTATGCTGGCAGGGACTAGTTTGACACATTTGTTCAATGTGGAGTCCGAAGTATACAGGGCTCACCAGCAGGTCGGCGTCGTCCATCGCATCGACGATGTTGGTGATGAAGTAGAAGACGACCAGAGCGTGCGCCGTGGCCACTTCGCTGCGCGGCAGCTGCTGCAGCGGCACGTCGGCGAAGGGCTTGAAAATGCGCTGGTAATCCGGGTAGCGTGCGAACAGCGCCACGAACGTCGACGTCGCGTTGACCCGCATCTGCCAAGGACGCCAAAGAATGGACGGACGGGTGTTAACGATGATTACAATAGAACAATATTCACCTCGGTAGCGTAGTCTGAAAATTCCTTTTCGGAGGAACGAACAGCATTAACCGGCATTAGTTCTTGTTAATTCATTGCATGCGTATATTTTACATTCGTCTTCGGTGAATTTCAATATAGTCGCTTTCGCACGAGCTAATAGAGCGCTTCTACACCAATTGGCACAGACCACTTAAACTAGTATAAATCGCGAGTGTTTTTGTGCTTAGCCATTACATTGAGCCGCATTTCGAGGTGTTCAATGATCGTGTTGGATGATGATGATGATGTTGGATGATGCTGGATGAACAGGCGTTAGACGATAATGATGACAAACATTTTATTCTGTATGTTATGTACAGAGAGTGTGGGGGTGGTCTTTAGGAGGCCGCCCCGTAAAAATCTAGGTGGGCACCCCTTTACGGGAGACCATTGGCGTCGGCCGCGGCCCGGGCACGCTCAACCAAAGCCCGTTGGGTCGTCAGGTCAGAGCAGCCGAGCAGGGCTGCCTCGCAGTCCTGCCGGGAAGGGTGGGGTGAGGTTGGGAGCTTTTCGACACGCCCACACCATGTGGGAAATGTCGCGGGAATTTTCCTCATAGTGCCCCCACTTCTCCGGGCAAGTGGGGTTGAAGTGTCTCAGGATTACCGGGCACAATAAAGCTTACTGATGTTGACCTGTAGTTCACTAATAGAGTTCACTGAAAATGCTTCGCATTGAAAAATTTATCTTCAATTGCGCCGGCAGCTTGCTATTTGTGGAATATCGGGTTTTAAGCTCGAACTGTGGTGAAACCTGGCTGGTAGCAACTCTTCCAGACACCAGGAAACTTAGGTGGCACGCCCTTCACCACACTCATTCCGGGCTATAACAGCATTGACCAATGGTGTATTGAAGCGAAGTGTGTTTCTGATCGCATTGGTTTCTCGTACTAAATTACGAAGCGTTTTGAAACATTACATTTTTTCCTTTATGCCAGGCACTTTCCGGCATGCATGTTCGATAAGGAGACCTAAATGCCAAAGTTTCCTTGCCTGCTTACCACAGCATTCAAAGGCGAAGCACTCAGGATTTCCGTTCATATAGGGTGCTGATTTGGGCTAGTTGGTGCATTCCCCAACAGCACGTGTACACACGAACACAAACATTCGCACGCGGATGCGGACACAAGGACACATACATAGACAATACAACGGGCCCACACATAAGGGTATGTGCACACGAAACACGCGAACACAAACTTAATCAACCTAAGCATGCACAAGGACACACACACACGCAACACATACAAAGGACATGTCAGAACTTTGGCGTACCTATACACGAGTGCACAAAAACACCTGCATAAACACAGTCCAACACGTAAGGGCAGGCACGCGCTAAACATACCAACGCAAACGTGTGTACATGAACTTAAGCACGCGCAGGCACTAACCCCCGTATTCTAGAACGTCCCTTCACTCAACGCTTCACTTTCACCCGAGAAAGCCGGTGGAAGCGCCCTCTCTAGACACGGCAAGTCACTGCATATCAGCGATAATGTGGTGCGATTCTCGAGCAGCGCAGCGTCAATTTCAGAAGGGTGAAAGTGAGTCGAGGATCGTTTGTGAATACGGGGGTAAGACGCAAGTATATGCAACACAGACATGCAACCCTAAGACGAAAGTATACATGGCACACAAGCCATGGCACTAAGAGACAGGTATATGCAACACAAGCGCATGCATCAACTCATGAACGAACATAGAGTGGGAAACACGAGAACACATTTACAGTCTAAACAACACTTGTCACGAGGAGCAAGTGAGCAAGATCAGTCGACGTTTTTCAGCTAAGAGATGGGGAGACCGATGCCGTAATGACACCATACATTGTCAAGTGACTTGTTAGAACCTTGTGTTATAGGTCAACCATAAATTTAAGCTTGATGCCAAAGCAAAGCATAAGCAGCGGAAGCTAACAGCTCCCAGAGCCACGCGATCGACAGCTTTATCCTTTTCCTACTGTTAAAAAGAAAAGACTAAAATTGTACCAAACATTGGTGTTTTTTTTCTGATTATTTCGCAGTGCACTGTTTTAGGTAAAAAGGAACCACTACTTCAGTCTAATTGGTGTTCCCTTATTTCACTAACTGCGGTCGTATACAAGATAGCTTGAAGATGACTTCACCTCACGGTATTACAATAAACGATAGCAATGAAACGAAAGCCGAGGCACAAATTGCATAACGTTGAACAAGCGTGAGCATCCAGCGTCAAGAAACAAAATTATGGTAGTATAACCATCACTGGTTCTGTAAGCGATAAAGTTTTATTCATTTTTAATAAAGTACAGGCATCGGTCATACTCGTACAAAACATGCAGGATGATCGTACCCGCTGTCGGAAGGGAAGAGGACAGACAAGTGTGATTCAGACAGCACAATAATAATAATAATAATAATAATAATAATAATAATAATAATAATAATAATAATAATAATAATAATAATAATAATAATAATAATAATAATGTGTGAAGTTTACCGTCTCCCAACCATGATGCACGTGTGACTATTAGGTACGCCATATTGGAGGTTTTCGTAAATTTCGACCACCTGGGGGTTCTTTAACGTGCTCTAACGCCGCACTTTACATGGGCCTCCGCTACTTCGCCTCCATATAGAAACACGGCCACTGCCATCAGAATCGAAACCGAAACTTTAGGGTTAGCACCCGAGCCTCGTAACCACCACGCCATGGCGGCGGACAAGCCCGCATTAGAGGACGTGTGTATGCGCGGACGCAATCGAAGGTAATGCGCTCCGGCCGCTCACGTCTCGCCTGATGAGGATCCAGGTGTCAATGATGTAGTTCCTGTCACGTAGGGACAGTCCGGTCACCGGGTCTGGTACAGTCTCCACGGGATCGCCGATGAGCCAATTGAGGAAAATCGACCACATCGAATTTGCGTTGTCCTTTGGTTGTACCTTATCGGACTGGGCCATCGCGATGCAGTTCTTGTTCTTGTCCACCTTCTCTTATGACTCATACCCACTGTAGGGGATTGACCAACGATTGAGTGGTATTATAAAATCCCATGAAGTTTTAGAGTAATCAATTGCTATATAAAAACTCCCAAGCATTTCCCCGAGGGTGTGATGCTATGAGGGGTATTTATTAATTCGCACTATTATATTTATTAATCACACTATGGTGCCTTTATGGTGTAATAATTCCTGGGAATCGCAATTTGATCACACGGGGGAGTTTACGTTAACTCACTGGCGAATGCCAACGGATTTTAACTTTACTCCCCCTCACGACCCGCTCTCGACGGGAGACTGAGAGAGAAGGCGGGCGCGCGAGAGAGAGGGGTGCGCGTGCAGCTGCAGCGAGCGAGGAGAGCGGAGGAGCGAGCGAAGGGGGAGGGGGTATAAGGCGCGTTACTGACACCGATATCAGCGTCGCGTCCGTGGCTTATTCGGTAGAGCGTCGCGCTGCGGCCCGCCAAGTCCTGTTTCTTTTAAAGATAGAGAGAAGACTGCGGACGCCGCCGACGGCGGTGGATGGTTTGGGGTCGCTTATAAAGTGTATTCACACTTAAAAACTGACCCCGTATCTGCATGCATGTTACACCGCAAATGTCGTCGAAAGACGATGGTCTTGCGTCTGGAGAGAGGGAACAAAACGTTTATTTATTTATTTTATTTATTTATTTATTAGAATACCCTCAGGGCCCGTAGGGCATTACAGAGGGGGTGGGTACAGCATATATAACACACAAGAAAAAAAGACAAAATAAAGAAACAAGTATCAGATGCGCAAATCAGGAAGGCAACATAAGTCAACTAAAAATGTATAAGAATTCAAGCACATACAAGACAAAGATAGATAATGGAAACTGCGTATAGTTACAAGCATTGCTGAGAAATTGCAGTCTTGAATAACAAAGGGTCTGTTATTGATACAACGGAAGAGGGAAGGTGGTTCCAATCGGCGGCTGTTTTCGGTAAGAAGGCTGCTGAAAAGAATTTGGTGCGGCAAAACGGAATGGCAACCTTATGCTGATGATCAATGCGCGATGAGTGGTATGACGGTTGTGAAATGAGGTCTCGCTTCATTGATGGATTGTGAAAAAATATCTTATGAAAAAAATGCAGTCGCGCCAGTTTCCTCCGGACAGTTAAATTGGGTAGGTCAAGGTTAGATTTCATTTCTGATATGCTAGCAGTACGGGAATAATTAGAACAAATGAACCGAACTGAGCGGTTCTGAACAGATTCTAACGCGTTAATTAAATTTTGCTGCACGGGATCCCATATAGCGGACGCGTACTCAAGCTTTGGGCGAATTAGTGATCGGTATAATAGAATTTTGAGGGACAGCGGAGCGCGAGAAAAGTTGCGGCGTAAGTATCCTAGCGTTCGGTTAGCGTTATTACAGATGTAGGTAACATGCGTGTGCCAAGATAGATTGTTGGTAATGTAAACGCCGAGGTACTTATATGAAGAGACATGCTGGAGGGGAACGTCGTTAATTCTGTAGGTACAGGGGGGAGAAATAGATCGCCGGGTTATTGACATGCATTTAGATTTGTTAGAGTTGAGAGTCATAAGCCATTTATTGCACCAGGTTGAGACAGTGTCAAGGTCTGACTGTAGAAATTGGTTATCCTATTCATTGTTTATTTCGCGGTAAATTACACAATCATCTGCAAATAACCTTATAGCGGAGTTAATGCTGTCTGGGAGATCATTAATATATATAAGAAAAAGTAAAGGGCCTAATACGGAACCTTGGGGTACGCCGGATGTTACTTTAGAAAGAGGTGAGTTATAGCCATTAGTTGTTACAAACTGAGTGCGATTAGTCAGAAAGCATTCAATCCATTTAAGAATGTTCGGGTCAATGTTTAAGGCACTAATTTTCAGGAGGAGTAATTGGTGAGGTACTTTATCGAAAGCTTTTTGAAAGTCAAGAAAAATGCAATGCACAAGTGAGCCGCGATCTAAAGCCGATGCTATGTCATTAGTAAAATAAAGAAGTTGGGTTTCACATGAGTAACTTTTTCGGAATCCGTGCTGGTAGGGAGTAAAAAAAGAATTTGATTCTAGGAATGAGACAAGGTTGGAGTAAATTATATGTTCTAACATTTTACAAGGAACACTGGTTAGGGAAATTGGTCTGTAATTGAGAGGAGACTGTGTGTTACCAGATTTGTGCAGAGGGACCACCTTCCCCACCTTCCAGTCAAGCGGCAAAGTGGAGGTCTGAATAGATTGCGAAAAGATTAAGGACAAGTAAATTGATGAATACAATGCAGTGTTTTTTAGAAACTTTGAGTTGATTTCATCTACGCCACAAGAAGAGGATAACTTAAGCTTGTGAATTAAATTTTGCACTCCAATGGCATCAACGGTAACAGGATACATGGGTAAAAAATCACGACTAGGCATTTGCGGCAACGCAGAAGCAGAACAACTTGAAAAAGAAGTAACAAAAAAATCATTTAATGCAATGCAACACTCTTCACAGCGAACTGGCTGCCCGTCTGAGTTCGTAAGCGAAATGTTTTTCTTTTCCCTAGGTTTAACAGTTTTCCAAAACTTAGAAGGGTTGGTTACAAGAATTGAGGGAAGGGTATTATTAAGAAAAACGCGCTTGGCTTCCTTGATAGCTGCTCTGTATTCGGAAAGGACAGATTTGTACACGTGCCAACGGGCTAACGAATTAGTCTGCTTTGCCTGACGGAACAACCGTTTCTTTTTATTCCGCAATTTTTTTAAGTCAGTTGAGAACCAAGGGGGGCGTTGGCGACCCTTGATAACGTATGTGGGAATGTATCGCGTGATTAAAGATTCAACTTTCATTTTGAACAAGTTCCAGTTTTGTTGAACGCTGCGATCAAAGAAGCCATTAGCAAAGCTCTCAAAATTCGATTCGAGTTCACTGTTGATTGAGTCATAATCGCCGCGTGAGTAGTCTCTTATTGTTTTCCAATTGATGTTCTGCGCAAGAAAATTGGTGAATGGTATTCTGGAGGCGCTGCGTTAGAGTGCCTCAAGCGTGCAGCGGAGGCGAACGAGCGCATCAAGTCACGTCACACGTGAGACATGAGCGCTATCTGGCAGTTATCCTGGAAAACGGGGCGCGCGCCGTGCGCGCCCGTCACCGAGGTGATAAAATGTAGAACGCAAAGCGACGGCTAGGTGTCACCACCGTGTCGTCTTAGCAAAGCGTTGGAAACACTTGCCGTTTCGTGCAAGCGTTGCATCGCCAGAGCTGCGTTATAAGGGCTACGATCCTTAAAATTATTTATGTATGCCTTTTATAGTAAAAAATACACATACATACTGTTGACGTGTTGTTATGGTGCCTCATATATGCGCGATAATTGCTTTTTAATTGACAATTGCGCAAGTATGAACGCTGAACCTTGAGCATTATTGGTGGGCGCTGCGGATGGGGTCGGCCGTTTGGAGTATCGTTTGATCACTTTGATGCCATTTAGAGTACCATTAAAAGTGGACAAACAGACAAATGTACAGACAGACAGACCAAAATGTTTGCGTCGAAGGTCCCCAAGAAATACTATCGTCTTTAAAAAAGAACATAACAAATTTTAGAATAAAGTGTTCATGCTCAGTAGCCGTTGAATCCTATTTTCTTTAGCACGGACCATTCACTAGAGTGATCCATTCTCCCCATGGTTTAGTCAGGAGGGGTGGCCCCCCTTTCATATTTTAGGAGGGGCTGTGCTCTCCTTTCGCAAGTCAACTGTAGCGTTGCGGTACCCTTTGACAAGCACTGGTGTTGAATTACATGCATCGCCGCCTATAACAGCCAATGAAAGAAGAATATAAGCCCTGATTTTTCTTCCCACGCCTGGCAAACGGAACGGGTAATTAGAAAAGAAAGGTATTCGAGGAAAAGGAGAAAGAAGCGCAACTTCACGTCTTAATGTTAGATCCTCGTTATTATCAATGTACCGCAGGTATGTGAGATTGTGAGATCGGTTGTAGCATTTGGGAGTGTTTTTCACTCACTCGGGGGTACCTGCCTCTAAGATTGGTCTTTTTGTTCTTCTGTATAAGCATTCACTACGGATGGGCTTAGGGCTACCTAAATTTGTAGTGAATAATGTTTTGCACATGGAAGCTAGAATTCCCTCACTCGTAATGCGGTTCCGTATATTGGCTGTATAAACATATTTAAGAGCATTGGAATCCCCTTTAAAACGTAACGAAACAGTTTGCGTTGTGCAACCTGGTTAATTATTTTTATTGTAAGTACCCTAGATTTCACACACCTCAGTAAAATTTCTACAATCTCTTCTAGATCCACTGCATGCGCAAATTATAGAACTTTTTCCGGTTTGTAACTCGACGAATTCTTTTCAAATATGTTTTGATGACATTTTTTCTAACTGTAGTAAATAATACCCAGTAAAACATGAAGGGCCGCTTTACTGGATTACCTGTGAAAAATGCAAGAAAAAGTCATCGTTGCGACAGACGCTTCGAAGAGAGATGAAAAGAATGGCATTAATATGCCCTGTTCTCGACTTATACTTTCCCCTCCGAATTCAAGATTTCACTCCCATATTAATTGCAGAATCATTAGCTGCAGTGACCCTGCCGTGGTGTTCTAGTGGCTAAGGTACTCGGCTGCTGACCCGCAGGTCGCGGGATTGAATCCCGGCTGCAGCGGCTGCATTTTAGAAGGAGGCGTAAATGATGTAGGCCCGTGTGCTCAGATGTGGGTGCGCGTAAAAGAACCCCAGGAAGTCGAAATTTCCGGAGCCCTCCACTGCGGCATCTCTCATAATCATATGTTGGTTTTAGGACGTTAAACCCCACATATCAATCATATCAATTTAGCTGCAGTATTGGTGGCGCATCCAAGCGCTCGCAACATTCAAACTTTGGCCCGCTAGACACACCGAAATTTAGCTGGAGAATATCGCGAATTCTTATCAGTGATATTCTATAGTACAGTGACATCA